GGCAAGGTAGACTAGCAAACATGCCCAACCTTTACTCACATTCGAGAAAACACTCCCAATAAGATTGCTTGCTCCAAAATCGAAGAGGCACCGTCCTCCGAATCTAAAGAGCCAGACTCCCAACATGACTACTTTCTTAAAAATCGAAGAGAGGGTAAAGGAACAGTACCATTGCTGGATAATTGGAAAGTCCCTGTGTGTCAACCTCTGTGCTTCGTGGCAAGGTAGACTAGCAAACATGCCTAACCTTTACTCACATTCGAGAAAACACTCCCAACAAGATTGCTTGCTCCAAAATCGAAGAGGCACCGCCCTCCGAATCTCGAGAGCCACTCTCCCAACATGATTACTTTCTCAAAAATCGAAGAGACACTGCTCCCCGAATCTCGAGAGCCAGACCCCCAGCATGATTGCTTTCTCAAAAATCGGTGAGGCACCGTTCTCCGAATCAATCGAAGAGGCGCTCGCTTTCTCAAAAGCTGGGCTGCTCAGAGACCACGAGGGCCGATCTCAGAAATCGAAGAGGCACCTACTTTTCTAGCCTTGTCAGCACCTGTCACACGCACACTCAGCTTTGCAGAAATTATGGGCATTCTGTCGAAGACTTCTGGTGAAGTAGAAAGCACATGAATCTTACTGTTCAACCACCCACACGCAACAATAACTCATGGGTACCACAGATCACTTTGCCAAAGTTCTCTGCCAAAGTTGAGCACGTGAAGCTTGCAGCTCCCACTACATCGCTCTGACCAAGAAAGGTAAAAGAATAGCAAAGAAACAGCACTAACAAAGTTTAGACACATAAATTTTGAAGGTCTAGCTACCATATTATTACCCACAAGGGTAAAGGAACAATACCACTGCTGGATAATTGGAAAGTCCCTGTGTGTCAACCTCTGTGCTTCGTGGCAAGGTAGACTAGCAAACATGCCCAACCTTTACTCATATTCAAGAAAACAGTCCCAACAAGATTGCTTGCTCCAAAATCGAAGAGGCACCGTCCTCCGAATCTCGAGAGCCAGACTCCCAACATGACTACTTTCTCAAAATTGAAGAGAGGGTAAAGGAACAGTACCATTGCTGGATAATTGGAAAGTCCATGTGTGTCAACCTTTGTGCTTCGTGGCAAGGTAGACTAGCAAACATGTCCAACCTTTACTCACATTCGAGACAACACTCCCAACAAGATTGCTTGCTCCAAAATCGAAGAGGCACCGCCCTCCGAATCTCGAGAGCCAGACTCCCAACATGATTACTTCCTCAAAAATCGAAGAGACACTGCTCTCCGAATCTCGAGAGTCAGACCCCCAGCATGATTGCTTTCTCAAAAATCGAAGAGGCATCGTTCTCCGAATCTCGAGAGCCAGATACCACAGACCACTTTTTCAAAGTGCTCTGACAGAGTTAAAACATGTGAAACTGGCAGCTCCCACTACCGTGCTATGACCAAGCAGGGTAAAGGAATAGCATTACTACTTGTTGTTAGGGAGACCCCTATATATGTCGACCTCCATCCCCAACGGACAGGCAGACCTGCAAAAATGCTCAACCCTTCATCATATCTGAGAGGGCACTCCCAACAAAGCCTTTCGAAATATTCAGCTTTCTTTCCCCCCGATAATACCTCTGCAAACAAGCTATACTAGAGCAAGAATATCTCATATCATCAGGGTTAAAAGCAAGAGTATCCCATATCATGCTTTTTCCCTGTTTTTTCTTTTGGCCTTGTTTTTACCTGCAAGACAAGGAGAAAGAGAGCAATCAGTCAGCACTTGGAATCAAGCTTCCAGCCAGGAACTGACTGCCTGGAACCCCTTACTTGATTACTTACCTGGCATTGCTCTCGAGTACTCATCTTCAACATCTTATGTTTCCAGGGAAGATTCCGCATCTGCTTGAGGAACAGATAGGGCAAGTGCGAAGGATACAAGGAAGCATGTGGAGACAAGCGTAACAGCACACGTGCCGATACATCCATTACTCTGTCAAAAGCAAAAGTATCCCATATCAGCAGGGTGGAACGTACTCTAGATTTGATGGACTTGTTTTGACCCTCAAATTCTTCAGTCGGCCTTATACTCTGGAGGAAACCAGAAAACCCTCCAGCTCAGTTCAAGAATAAGCCTGTGGAAAGTTACTTCTTCAAAAGCAAAAGTATCTCATATCATCTCTTCTCATTTTTCTTCTCTTTATCCTTCATGCTGCTGCAAGATGGGGAGAAGGTGAACAATCAGTCGGAGCTCTGATTGCTTACCTTGTCTGTCACCTCTTTCAGCAGACCCCCTAGCTCGGCGACTTGGGGGACTCCTACTACATGGTTTGTATTGTGCTTGACCAATCCTAAAACTACAAGTAAGCTTCAAGTGAAATTGATACATTACCTTGTGCATCTCCACCAGTTAAAGATACCACCCCTGGATGGAGGAAGAGTACTTCCAGAGAAGATGCCACATCTACCTATGAGACAGATAAGGCAAGTCAAGACGACACCACACTCCGATACTTAGAAGTTTTGTGATTACGAGATCATTCTCCCACAATATTTCCTAATGTCATTTGTACTAAATCATTCACTTGTACTCACTAAAGGAGAGCTTGAACCTATGTACTTTTGTAAACCCTTCACAATTAATGAGAACTCTTCTATTCCGTGGACGTAGCCAATCTGGGTGAACCACGTACATCTTGTGTTTGCTTTCCTATCTCTATCCATTTATATACTTATCCACACTAATGACTGGAGCAATCTAGCGAAGATCACAAAAAGCGACCGTTTTCGTTACCTAGGATCTATCTTGCAAGAGAACGGAGAATTAGATGGAGATCTCAACCATAGAATACGAGCTGGATGGAAAGAGTGCATCCGGCGTGTTGTGTGACCGTCGTAGGCCACTGAAGCTCAAGGGAAAATTTTATAGGACGGCAATAAGGCCAGCGATGGTGTATGGCAGAGAATGTTGGGTGGTGAAGCATCAACACGTACACAAAATGGGTGTAGCGGAGATGAGGATGCTTCGTGGGATGTGTGGGCACACGAGAAAGGATAAGATTGGGAATGAGGATATCCGAGGTAAAGTAGGAGTAGCCGAAATTGTAGGAAAGATGAGAGAAAATCGGCTCTGGTGATTTGGACATGTGCAAAGAAGGCCGACTGACGTTCCGGTTCGAAGACGTGACTACGGGACAGAGGTTCAGGGCCGAAGGGGTAGAGGAAGACCTAGGAAAACTTTGGAAGAGACTCTAAGAAAAGACTTAGAGTACTTGGATCTAACGGAGGACATGACACAAAACCGAGCGCAATGGCGTTCTAGGATTCATATAGCCGACCCCACTTAGTGGGAAAAGGCTTTGTTGTTGTTGTTGTTGTTGTTGGTTGGCATTTGCGCATTGGTATTGATATTGGAATTTGCATTGGCATTGGTAACAGCATCAACATGCATCAACATCAAAACTAGCTATTTTCTCAGTAAACTCATGATCTAGTGTACCTTCATGAGTTTGATGCGAGTTCCAAAAGCTTTGCAATTTGGTTTCTTTATGCTAGGCTATTTTTAGTATTTTATGTCTTAGGATTTCCTACCTTATGTTAAAATATATAAGGACTATGATGCATACATGGGTGTAGCCACATTACTAAAAGGGATCATGTATATGAGTCCAAATCTCCCTCCCTATAGTTTTATGTTTGTTTACCTTTTATCTTCTAGGATAAGTATTGTTCTTTGCTAAGTGGGAAAATTAATTCTTGAAATGTAGCCATTTTGTTCCCTAGTCCTCTTGGCAAATAAAGCCAAAATGTAACTCTTTATGCTTGTTTGCTTCAGTTACATATGAAATAGGCTTATTACACCCCAAATTTGTTGTTGCAGTTGCATTGGTTGTTAGACCAAAAGGGTATCAGCTTAAGAGAGTATTGGCTCTTCGACGGCCGGTCACCAATGTTCTTGATATATATATATGGCCACCAACACTTTCTTGTAGGTAAAAGTCTATTTGAATGGAGTTAGACTGAGCCATTATTGAGGAGGGTTTGAGTACTTTTGCAATGGCTACTAAAGTTTTCAGAAGATCTCTCCGCATAGATGTTTCCAACCATTTGACATATATGCACAACGTCAGGTTAGGGTTTAGGGTTAGGGTTAGGGTTTTAAGGCTCCAAAGAGCTGCCAGAGGTGATGGTTGAGTAGACATGAGTGTCTGGGAGATTTCTTGGTAAGGTTAGGGTTAGGGTTTTAAGGGTACAAAATAAGAGGAGAAATGAGTTTCGGTAACTAAGGTAGGATTTCAATTAACTTTTTTTAAACCTACAAACTAAGGAACCGGATTCTCACTTCAGTAATACTCTAGCTAGCAGCTAGATCAGTGACCTAGTTACTGGATTTGGCTATCAACTCAGATTTGATATAGGATGGCTTCTTTTTCATTTTAATCAAGTGTGGCTTCTTTTATTGTTGGGAAGAAAAATATCACTCAACAGTAGCTATGCATAATGCTAATCAGGGCCAACAAATATCATCATTTAAGCAATTGAAATGACCAAATGACCAAAATATGTAACAGCATGAAAAAGTATTGTCAGATTCCTTAATACTCAAAGGGACTCTAGCTCAAGTTGCCAATGGCATTTGGCCATCCCGTAGTTTGTCTGCATACAAAAAACGGGTTACAGATTTCCACAAATCCGTTTAAAACAAACGTTAACAAATATTACAAGTATTTCCCCCATATGCTTGATAAACTTGTTTAAACAATAGTTAAAAAAGATTATAGGGATTTTTGCCTTGGTTTATTCACTTGAATACAGGAAGCATTTCAACTTATGTACCCCATATATATACATAGATATTATTCATAATTTGGTCGAGAAACATACAAAGTGTATATATCCATTGAAAAAGGAAAGGACAGAAAATATCTCATTACAATCAAAACCTAAATAATATTCACAAGGTACATGATTGTTGCCTCTAACGACCATAACGCTTTGACTTTCTTATCAGCATGAAATCAGTTATCGATCGTTTCAACAAACTGAAAGTGGAGCATCAACTGCTGAATCCTGCTTCAGAAGTCAAGGTAACCACTCAACAAAAAAAGCTCCAATTTTCTTTGTGCTGAATACCTGCAATTATACTGAATAAAGGCATTATATCTATCTGACACTGTCACTAAGCTTCGTCGACAATGAGTACATGCTAGCCAGATTTGCTTTCATTTAATTTTTTATGCTCTACGTAATGCCTACGCATGCATACCACTTCTTTAATTACGTAGCTCTATGGTTTTGCCTATGTATAGTAACAAACATTAGCAAACAATATAATCCCTTCTAAACAATGTTGGATTATATCCTTTCAGAGAGATTAGAGACAAGCAAACATAGAAATAGCGAGAGCTAGCTCTCCAAGCTCCGGTAGTCTTTCTTAGTCACGAATTTAATTGTATGGGAAAGTACATGATGGGATTAGTCTAGATAGTCTGAAATAGCATTATGGAAGAACATGTATGCCTAGAAAGTTAGAAATTAGGACTCAGATGTTACCAGTTTTCATTACAAAACTTCTGAGACAATCATAGAGCTCTATCCTCTTCAACACATTCTTGTCACTTGACTCATGAAGATGCATAAAGGATTCTAGGGAAGAGAAGCTCAATACATTAACAAACCATCAAACAATTGCACCATTTTCCAAAGGTCTAAAATGCACAAGATTGAAAGCCTGAACAAAATTTTGTATCAAAAAGTTAAACACTCAGGTTGATCGGAAGAGTGGTGGATCACGATAGGACATTCAGGAAAGACAGATACATGCTCTTTCGACGCTGACAATAGTAACTGTGAAGTCCGAATTGGAAAAGAAACATGGAAGAGAAGGTATTTATGTTATTGACATTGTCGTTCCACAGGCTCAGGTGAAATCAGGTGTTCAATGAAGTTATAAGGTATGCCATGCAAACTAGTCATTCTTCCAGGTTGAAAGTTCAATTTAAGATACTATTACTACAAACACATCGAGGGAAAGGGAGATGAGTTTCACTAATGATGCTCTGGGACAACTTCTTTCTCATCTAGCTGACATAACTTAAGTTCAAACAACTTGTTAAAGTCTAACTGAAGTTCTAGCAAATAGAAACACAAAGTTTCCATATTGATATTATAATTCGAATTTTCCGTTAGAAGCAAAATCTGGTAGTAGTAATAATTCAAGGGGTTTTCTTCAATATATCTGGAGAAAAGCCCAGCGTTACTTAGGGAAGGGTAGCACTTTCCTTTCAGGGATGCTATTGCTACTTCAGAATATACTTAAGTGAAACCTAGATTATATTTTTTTCTTTTATGAGGAGATAACTAACCATATCTTAACCACTCTTCAAAAGAATGTAGCAATCTAAAATAGCCATGGTACTCAAAGGAACCATTTAACATCCTTGCAACACCCCACCAGCCTGAAATCATTGTGGAATGAATACAACACATGAACGTTCGGAGTTAACAATGAAGCCTGGCTTTGATGGATTGTAGATAAAAGGAAAATAAAGATGCAAGGCCCGGACAAGCTAAACTTATCTTATGTATAATATTCCATTTGCAAAAGGCAACGCCGTTAGCTAATGCATATTTTTTTGCATTTGCAGAAGAAAAGAACAAAAGTCTAAGAGGAAGTATGATGGTGCTGAAGCTTTGATAGCCCCAAGAGTTTTAAGGATCCAAGCTTTAGAAAAATTCCATTGAATAATAGTTCGTTTGTGTTGAACCATTTTAGACTATTCCAACTCGTATCCAATTAGAGGGCTTTATATTCACGAAAAGACAGACAGCCCGGTAAAATTCTGAAGAAACAACGAAAAAGTTAATATATTGATCCATTGAGAAATTCAATTTGCCCCATGTAACGAAAAACTTCAGCCTAGGATTGTAGTATAGTGGAAGGGAATATTTCCATTTCCATAGTTATTAGTAACATATAGTTTCTGGACATGTAAATCAGGACCTCCCACAAGAATTCCTCCATTGATGGGAAGAAAAATTGAAGAAACAAGTGCAGAATGGAAATCTTTGAGTTGATGGACACAAATGGTGAAAGAAATGATGTGGGAAGCAATTTCCATATGTTTTGAAATCCAGGAATAACAGATGAAGAGAAAAATGTGACATAGTTGTATCCTAGGGTTTTAGTAAAACATGGGAGCTATCAGCACTTCTGAACAGCTTACCAAAGGGTGAATGTTGTTGTCATTTTGTCTTTAGTGCGAAGGATACTATGCATGGCAGGTAACATCCTTCAATTTCTATTTCAATTTCAATTTCAATTTCATCGGTAATGTTCTAGCTGTTCCATCAGTAGAATGATGTAGACACCTGCTCTCAACAACTTTGTACCATTAGTAGTCACCGAGTAGCTTAGTAAATAAGTGAAAAGGCAACTTTTAGAGCAGACATAAGATGCACGTTTGGGATCAAACAAAGAATAATAATATTCACCAACATAAGATGCACGTTTGTCACAAACCTCAAACCATACGCCATTTCATTGGACCATCAATGATGTTCTCGGTTGGCATGGCCCATCGGGCTAGTCGACCATGTGTGATGTATAGATGCATTCATGTAAACCCCAGTCAACGTGCATTTATAGATTGACTATGAAAGAACAAAGCGAGTTACTACCATATGGTAGCAAGACTTCCTTGAAACGATTCTTGGAAGAGTTAGACAGAAACGGCCAAAGAAATTAACCAACAATTTGTGCCCTAAGCTATGATGAAATTTAGTTTACTATTGTTCCTATAATCTCTAATTTGTGAGCACATGCAACCAAAACCAATTGGTGATGAGTGGAGAGGCCTAAGATATGTATTTACAAGACAAAATATAAAATAAAATATGCCACTTCAAATTCCTGATGTGTGATTTTACATTGGCTAACATTTTCTAGTGCTCCTATAAATGTGATCATCTAGTGAGTTCATATTTCATGCAGACAAATATTTAATGTATTTTTATTTGATAGTTTTGGCAAAGGGAAGCAACAAGCTTGAGGCAACAATTGCGGTACTTGGAAGAATGTCACAGGTACAATCATTGCTTTTTATTGAATCTTCAACATTACATAGCAATTTGATTCAAGTACCAAAACCTAACAATGCATATTTCATGTTGCTTACTGGAAAAGGATATCATACTAACTATGGTTCATCTAACTACCCAACCAGAAAACCTTTTCGACATGGAGGACGAGTAATGAAAAGACGTTACTTGATTATTCATAAGAAACATAACAAATAATTAGCAATAATTAATTAAATACAATAGCAGTGGACAAGAAGCTACGGAAAAAATAAAAAAATATTAATTAGTATCCTGCTGCTCAGCCCTAACATAGAATATACAGATGCAAAATCAAGAAATTTCACAAAAGGAAATATGAAATGTCTCTGAACTTTAAAAACTGAGGTCCCCAAAAAAGTTTCACATCTTGTCACACATGTATTGATCTAACATATAAAAATATTAAGTATATAAGAAAACATGTATTGATAGCAAAATAGTTTCGCATGTTGTCAGACATGTATTGATCTAACATATAAAAATATTAATTATATAAGAAAGGTTCTGCTAATTTCTTTAGATTACAGAGATTTGAGTCAAGTACTCAATTCTTTCAATCCTCTATTTACGAACTTGAGGTAGTGACTGTTATTATTAGTGTTCTTCACATTTATATGGTGATGAAACGATCCCGTTGAAATCTACTTTCCGGCAGTCAAAACTAGTTTTTTCCGGACATAAGCCAGTAATCCTTTTGTATGTATTACATGAGTTGGAATCGAAAGCAATTCCAAGGAATTTAGGTCTAGTGTAATTGGGTTTGAATTTTTAGGGCATTTAGGTCTATTTAGGTGGGTTTTTTGCTATAATTGATAGTTTTTTTTTATTATAAAAAAATGTCATTTATAAAATTGGAATGTAAGTTTTGGCTATTTATGATAAATTCTCCTTTTAAACCAACTGAAATGCAACTTTGTAAAAATCGCTTCACAATATCCTGATACTGTTAGTTAAATATTGCTAAAACACTTAAGGTTTTTCCATGAAATGTGAGATAATGATTTATTGGGAAAAAATAGTATCTCATACTCACAAAGTAACATTTAGTATATATGAATCAGTTTGTGAGAACGTTTAGAGTATAGCCTCACACCTTCTGTAAATTATGCAGGCAGTTAATGGGGGAAGAACTTTCTGGTTTGAGTGCCAATGATCTACAAAATTTGGAAAGTCAGCTTGAGATGAGTTTGAAAGGTGTCCGAACGAAAAAGGTATCAAATGCCATAGACCCTGATTACAGTCTCACTTAATAATTTCATGCTCCCTTCCTTATATAGCACATGCATGGCACTCATTGTTTTAATTTTTCTATTCTGCAGAACCAGATATGTAATGATGAAATAAAAGAACTGAACCAGAAGGTTGCCCAGGAACTGGCTCAATTTCTCCCAGTTAATTAATATTTATTCATTTTATTGGGGGTAAATTGATGCTTATTACCATTGTTTTTTACTTTATTTTCAGGGATCTTTCATACATCAAGAGAATATAGAACTGCATAAGAAGCTAGACCTCGTAAGTAAAGAGAATGAGAAACTGCAAAAGAAGGTATTGTCTATACAATAAGCTCTACTTTTATATTTAACACATTATAATTCATCAAAAGGGTAAAGAGAGGCAATGGGTAGAGGGAAAGCGAGAAGAATCAAATGAGCATAAACCTTAAAGCCATTATGTTATTATACTTATCAAGCAAACGTGAAGATGTCTTCTCTAGCAAACACTAACACAAAATATTTTAATATCAGGTTTATAAAGCAAGGGATGTGAATCGAGGAAACAAAAGTTCACAGCCTCCACATAGCATCAGCAATGAAGATGATTTGCATGCTCCCACCCATCTGCAGCTAAGCCAACCACAGATTCAAACTTAGCATTGGGCTTGGGCCTTCGAACAATGAAGTGCCAGCAAAAGTTATATATAACCCCACTAACGTGTAATATAGCCCATATTGATCCAATCGACAAACCCACCAAAAAAAAAGAACAAGCAAAGCTCACTGTTTTGATTAACATCTCTTCAAAGTGTGCAAACAGATTACAACTGCATTGGCAAAGTTGTTTCACAGCGGTGGATAGCTATGTCATAATGCAGAATGCAGGCAACTCGCACCGCAGTGCAAGTCAATCTTCAAGGAGTGAAATGTCATACTAATAGTAAATGGATCCAACGAAAGGACCAACAGCTTTGATACGAAATGTTCTATCAAACAAACTTTAGTATTTCTGTAAGAGAATTAGACAACCAGTTAGGTGTGAATTTATGCAATAATGGCAAAGAATTGTGTCAGGACCAACTTTATCTGTATTAAAATGTGTTGTGACCAATCAAAGAATAATTGCCAAGACTTACTCCTACTTCCAAGACACTTTTAGAGACCCAGGTTTTCATTCTACCACTCACTGCAGCCAGTCTATGGTATGCCTAAAAGAAAAAATGAACAAGAACAGTAGCAAGCATAAAAAACCAAGCTAGTTTCTCATTTGAAGAGATAATGTTTCATGATTGGTATTTATTGTTATCCTAAAATCAAAGAAAGGGTTATGTGCCTACATTATCATCATTTCACGAAATGCATGTCTTATTTAACAATCGGTTTTCTGCTCTTCTTAGATCACTGTCAACCATTGATTTTAGTTTTGAATACCAAACAAACAGTGTGTGCAGCAATCAATAAGTGAATCTACTATAAGATAACCCAAGATTCTTGCCTGTGTGGAAACTATAATCAATAATGTAGCTCTTAGTTGCTAAATCATCCTTTGTTTTTGGTGACCCAATATTGGAGGAAATTTTTGATAAAGTTTGTTAGTTTTGTATTTTTGATTGAGTGTTTGAATCGGTTTCTTGGGTAGAATTGTAGAGAATTGAGAGAGCTTTGAGATTTGGATATCAGCTGTGCAAATAATGCAGCAACCCTGATTGATTAAGTAAGGTGAACATTACACAAAAGTATGGTGCATTTCCATCACCCATACTTATCTAAAAAGGTGATTGACAAGAGACTTTAACAACCATTAAGCCTTACTACTCCAGATTACATCCTAACCCTCCATTTGGGTTTAAGTGATTTAATCTGGAGTGTACACTTGTCACTCACACACTTACACACACTTTTAAAACAAAACTAGCCTTTGGAGACTAAAACCCTTCATCTTCTTTCTTCTTCTTCAATGCAGATCACATCCTTTTGCTTAGGAGTCCCTTGCTGCCTTCAACTCCTCGACTCCAGGAGCTGGTTAGCTTTCAACAATTTTGTGCCAATTGATGTTAAATGCATAAAATAAAGGCAACGAAAATAAATCAAACACCCATTTATTTAATGGCCATTTTTTAAACAGATGCAGAACGATCTTTATTTACATTTGTGGTTCAACAGATGTTAACAAACTCTTTGCTTAAACTTCTAAAAGGTGGCCTATCAGTTTCCAGATAAGAATGGACGCAATCCAATTTTCACTACCTCCATTTCTCTTGAAAACTAAGTATTTCTATCAAATTCTTCCAAATGAGATGTTGTTCTATTTTTTTTTAATTCACTTTACATGCTACAAATGAACATTTGTTATCTTGCTTGGTTTGAAGAGTCATTTGAATATTTCTTATATTTTGTCTAACAAATTGGGTACAAACCCGAGAACAAGCTGAGCAAAAGAAAACTTAAACTGTAAAGCTATGAGTGTTCCGAATACTATGTTTTTTTATTAGTGATCAGTTTTGATATTTTTGAATACCAATATAGAAAGGTGACATAAATAGTTCATGGGAGAAAATTTATTCATTAAATATTCTAGATTTCTTTTATACATATGGTTGCTTCAGTTTGAATTATCTGGTGGTTGGAATAGGAAGGGACATCGGGCAACATTCAAATGAACGATTTGAAGACCTGTTGACTCTAATAACTGATTGTTGAGTTTATCAAGTTGGAGGATTGCCTACATATATCTGGGAGGAAAAATCAAATCACTGGTGTAGTTATAAGAAAAGATGATATAACATAGGCAATTAAGTATTACATCATGCATGGATCATTTTTTATGAGCAGGCTACGGCGTGGTGTTAAGGAGATGAGTTATACATACACTTGTCTTCACGCAAATGGTGGCGTTGCGATTGAGCCTGGAATAGAAAGCCTACATATCCCTAGGAAGGGAATCAAATCGCGTGTAGTTCAGATTTTGCTCCTCTAATTGATCTGGAGTCGTCTGCGTGGAGGGTCCATCTTAGAGTGATGGGGACTCTTCTTCTTAGCATTGATCTGCCGCCCTCTGTAAATACAGTTGATGTTGAGAGTGGGTTTCTTCGCTGGGTGTGAATCTTCATCGTTATTACGCTTATCATACCTATCTCTATCCTTTGGTTCGGCTGAATCTTCATTTCTTGCCTTGCCCCTGACGTGCTTTCAACAATGTCCCTGATCTAGCAATTCCTCAATGTGGTCTCTCAGTGTATAGAAATTCTGAGATTCATGGCCGATACTCTGGTGAAAAGAGCAATATTCATTCAGATTTTTGTTTGCTAGGTGCTCGGGAAGCGATTTTGGATGTCGGAGGTAGGGTTTGTCCTTGATGTTGTGGAGAATGTTGTTGACAATAGTGTTCAAAGCGGTGTATTGCTTTGGCTTGGTGGAGCTTGCCTGTCCCGATGCCCCATTTTGTCTATCTGACGTGGAGAAGGGAGAGGAATATCTAGTCGTTCATCCTTCAATCAGTCTTTTTGGTATAGTCATGATCAATGACTATCTTCAAGGTTTTATTATCCCAGTTCGTGAGATCATCTGCCACGTCGAAGCACTCTGCCAGGGTAGCGTAGTCATATTTTCTTTTGTTCAGCTTCTAGGAGAGAGGTGAATGAACATAGAGGCTTTGTTTGAACGTCATGGGGTACAACCTATCATCCAGCTTATCTACTCAGCTTCAACATGAAAACGCTTCATGTAAGCCCTAAGATTTTCATCCTTGGACTAAGAAGTCATTCTGAACATGGCTTCGTGACGTTTGCGGACATTGCGGTACACTGAGAAAGTGTTGGTCAAAAGGTCAACCAGGCTCTCGAAGCAATTGATGGATCTAGCTGGCAACACCAAGAACCATCACATGGTAGGTCCTTCTAGTGTGGATGGGAACATCTTGCACATCCAGGTGTCATTGTTATTGTATAACGCCATGGCATTTCGGTAGTACATAATGTGGTATTCTGGATTTGAATCTTCACGAAACGACTTAAACTGAGGTTGAGTGAACTTCTCAGGTGATGGGATGGACTCAATTGTCAAGGTGATGGGGCTCTTGTTCCGGACTGTCGGCTTAATAGGGATGCGGGGGTGGTGTTCTCTCATCATCACTTAAGAATAATTAGTATTATGGTCTAGTGGTATTCCTCTACACTTGTAAGTGAGAAGTCTTAGGTATGATTATCGTTAAAGGTAAATTTGAACCACATTATTGTTAGCCCATTATGAGGCTTAGCCCGCTTCCTCACCCCTTAGTGTAGATAATATTGTTTGTTCAGAAAAAATTAGTTGATTATCAACTCTAGCCTTTGCTTGAACTATTATTCAGAAGAAGAAAAAAAAAAGTTAAACTTAAGAAACCCAAACATATACATATAACCTAATTATGTGTGCAAACTTTCTTTAAGTCGGTACATATATAATAAACATAGAGAACAAAATAAACTTTTGCTTACATCTTTATTTCAAATCACCCTTCACACACAAAATGGTTGCCAATAGTTCAGCTACATAGAATTCACATAAATCAACAATTGACCAATATACACACACGACAATCTGAGCGTACATGTAATTACCAATTAAAAGATATAAAATCCAATCACAATAATAAAAATTACATATTAATTTTGAGAAAATAATTTCCACCAATATTTATTTTACTCAATTCAAATACTTAAAATAAACATAAGTCCCTGAATATATTTTTATGAAACAAGAACAAAATGTGGGCATAGACTATAAAATTAGACATCTTTCAAATTTTCCCTATATATATAATATTGAGAAAGCCAAAACCCCCTCCCAAAAAGGAAGAGAGCGCCCTTGGTTTCCCAAACAACACGTGTCAATCACCTATACGTCACCCTCTCCCATCATTTGTGCACAAACACACACCACGAATCCCGGGCCTATCTGACAGTCCGAGGATTCCCAATTCCCCACGCTTTTCATTTACACTCGCCAACACTCGCTAGCTTCTTCTTACGCGTGCCCATTCTGATTCCCTCCTGCTGGTCAACAGGCTTTGTTTGATCACCCGACAAAATGTCGGCCTCAAAAAGCGAGTAGAGTGGACTTCCTCTACTCTACCGAGTGGGCTTTCCGGTCCAGACCATTACCTCTAGGCGGTTTCCATACCATGTTTCCATAAAAAAACAGGGTTTCTACTTTTGTGGCATTCCATATAAAGTATTTATAAATTTTAGTTAGAGGTTACATCTGAAAAAAATTAAGGAAAGAGCGAGGGAGGTTGCAACTGTTTTCTCCATAGCCTGTTTAATCTTCTAAGTAAGCTCTCTACACCTTTATTTTTTAGGAAAAAGACTTCTTTTTTGGGATAAGTACGATGATCTTTGTTCTTTTGGGTTTTCTGGGTTCTTGTTGATGATCTCGTTTTGCTTCATAGTACTGTTATTTCTGAAATGATTTTGGTCTTATTTGCTTTAGGTTTTGATAATCAATTCAGTTGAATAGAAAATTTTTATTGAATATGAGTAACTAATGTAATTTCTCTATGGATCTACCGATCTAGTAGAGAAGGTATGGGGAGAGGAAAAATTGTGATTCGAAGGATTGACAATTCGACGAGCAGGCAAGTGACCTTTTCGAAGAGAAGAAATGGGTTGCTTAAGAAGGCTAAGGAGCTATCAATCCTTTGTGATGCTGAGGTTGGACTGATTATCTTCTCTACCACCGGCAGGCTTTACGATTATGCTAGCGCTAGGTTAGATCTCTCTCTCTCTCTCTCTCTCTCTCTCTCTCTCTCTCTCTCTATATATATATATATATATATATATATATATATATGTTGCCTGTGAACTATTTTGTTGGACTGCGTTTGCACTGGAACTATAACTACTTGTTCTATATTTTGTCTTTAATTTTCCAAGCTGACTTAGTAGAATTTATGTATCGATGTTGATATATGCTGTATGTTCTAGCATAGGATTTGAGGTGGATTTTTTATTGGACTAGTTCAGACAACATATATCAGCTGTAGCGTCCTTTTTGATGAATCTGTATAAAGCGTGTGGAATTACTTACCCGAAGATGTTATTTGGCTATGTGGTTGCTTCCTGTCTTAGGTCATGATTGTGTATAACTTTCCCTTGTCTTTTTGCATAGGAATTCAGAAAGTTATATTATCTCTGATACGAAATTGCCTTTAAAAACTTCCAACGAAAAACAGGTTACAGATAAAAGTATTTACATATGAATGCTTCTCACAGTGTGCTATATAAAGGATTCAATTATCATATATATAGGCAAGAGCTGACTATTTACATATAATGATAAATAGAGACAGGATGGAGTGAATGCATGATTCAAAATTACGTTAAATTTAGTTCTTTAGTAATGTTCAATGAAGAGGGGATTTTGAGGTGTGCGCGTTTGCGTGTGTATGTCTCTCTCAATAATTAGTCCGTTTTCTCTTTCGCAGTTGTTTTTTTTTGGGGGGGGGGGGGAGAGAGAGATAGAGTTTATGACACTTTAAAGGTCTAAGGCATGCACGAGGAGGATAGATTTTTCAGTGTGACCAGTACACGGGATGGTATATCACGTGTCACTGTACAAATTATGGAATATATATGTTAAAAAGATAATAAGTATTCAGCAACCCCATGCATGCTTCTCCTTACTTTTACGTCCTTAAGATTCATTGTGTTGCATAAGATGTGTTGTGTTGTCTCCTCATTGATTTGTCAGTAGTTCTTACAATGACAAAGTTCTTAGATGAAGGGCTGGTTTGGTATTGCTGTGCTTTGAAAAAAAGCTGCTGTGAGAATAAGCGGCTGTGAAATAAAGTCAGTAGAGTGTTTGGTAAACTTTTTTGTGAAAGTGCTTTTGAAAAAAAAAGCAGGATGATAGTGTGTCTTTTCATTAAAGGAGCACTGTAGCTCCGTGTGCTTTGAAAAAACTGGCTTTTTTTCAAAGCAGCAAATAGCAGCTTCAGCTTTTCCTTTGATTTTCAGCTTATTCTCACAGCAGCTTCCAAAATAAGCCCTTTTTTTTAGTTTACCAAACACAAAAATGACCCTCAGCTTTTTTTCACAGTGGCTTTTTTTAAAATCACCTCAATCCCAAACGGGGCCGAAGTTTACTTGATCATACCTCCTCCAACTGGAATAGCACAACCGTGTTAATTCGTGCTATTAAATCGTAGCTACGTTTATATCGTCGACCAATACATTTTAATACCATAAACATGGACAAACTTACTTTTTAAGTGCCCTCATCGTTCGCAGACTCATTTGTGACATTTTGACAACTTGATCAACAGCGATGATGTGGGAAGATAGTTTACTTCTCTATATATACCTAATCTCCATGTTAAAAACCGATTTCTTTTCTGATCTCCGTCCACGATGACTTCATAATGTTCAGCGGCACTTGGTTGTTGTAGCCTATTGAATGCTCGCTTGTGAAGAGAACCTTTAGCAATTTGACGTGAATGATTTCTTCACCATTGTTTTATCTTCGTTCAGTTCAGTGCCTTAATCAAGTGAAGGAAGAGTGTTTGTACTTATCAGAACAAAGATTTAGTTGAAACATGATATTGTGGTTATATTAGGTTATATTTTGTTACTCTGAAGTTTTATCTATATTGGATCGTGCAATTTTGTAAGCGTTAAACAAAATTTTGAGAGTTGCCCAGCAGGCTATAGGCTATATCAATAATGCTTAGAGAATCTCTAACATTACTAGCTATAATTTGATAGTGTGAAAATGATTCAAAAAATATTATAACTAGTCAGTTTAATATGAACGTATCTCCAACATTACTAGCTAAATAATTCATCTGCAGGAGCTAGTTGTTTTTGTGAAAATTGTTGATTCATTCAAGAGGGACAAAGCCTCATGAAATATTGTAGCTTCTGTAAAATATTGCAAGCCTTTAAATCATTTTCCATCTCCAATGGTTCAACAAATGAAATGAATAATACAGAAACTATAAGTCCTCAATCACCTAATAAGTGCTTGAACTTTCCAGCCATGGTCAAAGGCAAATAAGCCACGGACACCAAATCAATGTGCCAGAAGCGAAACTTGTCATTCATTTGTCAAAACTTATTGAAACGATAGAATACTTGATTTGAGGGGAATGGTATCTTGGTTAATTTGCTAGTAGAGCCTCAAATGAGCCAAACAAAAAAAAAAAAAAATCTTGAAAGAAACGGAGGATTCAAAATTCCAAGAGATGGTGGAATTAAGGGAAGCATCAGACTAATGTACGGAAGTCGCACTCAATTTTCTTCGGAAGATAGTTCTTGTGGTAAAAATAAAATTAAGATTTAAGCTATCTTGTGGTAGAGTCTATTAGGATTTACCACTTAGGTCCAAAATTGAAAATTTTATCAACTCTTCATTAATTAGTAGTACGTGAGTCATACATATGAGGCTAAAATAGAACTCTCTGTTAATTGTTAGCATGTGAGGCTAACTTTATATTTTTATAGCCTCACATGTGAGGCTCATGTGCTAACAATTAAAAAATAGTTGATGAAATTTCAAATTTTAGGCCTAAATACTAACAAACTTCACTACATGAGCTTAAATCTTATGAATGTGTATTCAATTGAGATTTTGAGATATATTAATTCTTTTAATGAATCTAGGGGTATTCAATCAAGATTTTAAGTGATTCTCTGAAATTCAATGTGTATTCAATCAGGATTTTAAGATAGTTTATTAAAATCCTTAGAAATTCGGATGTATTCAATTAGAATATTAAATAAGTTTGTAACATTACAGGTGTATTCAATTAGAATTTGAATTTAAAGAATTTGGAAAAGTTGAGGAATTAGAGGGAATTAGAGAGATTTTGTAGTGTATTTTAAGCGTCCACAAATCTCACATCTCCCCATGAGATTTCGAGGGAATTGAATCAAAATTTTACATGGAATCTCTACAAATCAGTTAAACTCCATAAAAATCCATAGCTTTATAAATCCATTAAAATCTCTCAAATTCCCAATTGAATACACCCCCATTATGAGTTATCTTCCAACTACCCTATCACCACAGAGACTATTTATCCAATTAAGCCTTTACTGAATGGAATCAGAAATGCACTTTGGTTGGCCTCAACTTTTCTTGGTTTTTTGCTATTTCTCTTTCCCTAGTTTTGGGCTGTTTTCATTTTTGTTTTGTTTCATTGGTTCGCATTTTCATTGGTATTGATTTTGGAATTTGCATTGGCATTGGTTTCAGCATCAACATCAAAACTAGTTGTTTCTTCTTAGTAACGTCTTAGGATTTTCTACCTTAACATAAGGATTATGATGCATATGTGGGTGTAGCCACATTGACTAGAGAGAATTATGCATGCGAGTTCAAATCTCTCTCGGCATTTTTATGTTGGTTTATCTTATATCTACTAGGATAAGTATTGTTCTTTGCCAAGAGGGAAACTTAATTCTTGAAATGTAGCCATTTTGTTCCCTAGTCCTCTTGCTTTGTATGACAGCCCCACATCAGCTTATAGGGGATTTGGCCATTCACACACTAATTTTTACCTCTCGCACACCCTTATTAATTTTTAGCTATTGATCTTCAATTCATTCGGCCGATAGTCGAAAATTGAGAGAAGTGTGTGAGAAGTAAAAGAAGTGTGTGGATAGCACTACCCTATATATATATATATATATATGCCTCCAACACTTTCATGTACGTTAAAGTCTAATTGAATGGAGTTAGACGGAGCCATTATTGAGGAGGGTTTGAGTCCACTCTTGCAATGGTTACTGAAGTTTTCATCAGATCTCTTCGTTATGTTGGGGCTAGGGTTTTAAGGCTCCCTAGAGTTACCAAAGATGATGATTGAGTAGAAATGAGTGTCTGCGGGAGATTTATTGATAAGGCTAGGATTAGGGTTTTAAGGGTACAAAAATAAGAGGAGAAATGAATTTCGGTAATTGAGGTAGGGTTTCAATTAGCTCATTTTAAGGCTACAAACTATGAAACCGGGCCACTTATATTACAGTCTAATAGCATTCATCTTCACTTGTAAATGATAAATCTTAGGTTCGATTTTTGCCAAAGACGAATTTGAACCACATTATTGCTAGCTCATTATGAGGCTAAGTTCACCTCATTCCCTTAGTGTAGATAATATTGTTTGCTCAAAAACTAAGAAACCAGATTCTCACTTGAGTAATACGCTAGTAGATCAATGACCTAGTTACTGGATTTGGCAATCACCTCAGATTTGACATAGGATGACTTCTCTTTCTTTTTAATCAAATAATGGAGGGGGATTCTAACGTAGGGCCTCTTTTATTGGCGGGAAGAAAAATATCACTAAACAAATATTATCATTTCAGCAATTGAAATGAACCAAAATATGTAACACCATGAAAAAGTATTGCCAGATTCCTTAATACATAAAGGAACTTATAGCTCAAGTTGCTAAACACTTGCCCCTCCTGCAGCATTGTCTGCATAGAAAAAACGGGTTTACGGATCTCCGTAAAGCCGTTTAAAACAAATGTTAACAAAGATTACAAGTACCCCCTAAATGCTTGATAAACTTGTTTAAAACAATAATTAAAAAGATTATACGGATTTTTACTTTACTTTAGTCACTTGAACACATATGGTACAAATCAATTGCACTTTCTTTCTTACATTTGCCTTGTGTCTTTTTATGCACAAAATTGTAGGAATTTTACTTGCATCAACACTAAAGCAATCACATTGGTCCAGAAACATATAAATGTGTGTATATCCATTGAAAAAGGGAAGGACATAAAACCAAAACCTATAGAATATTCAGAACGTACATGATTTTTGCATCTAACGACCATAACGCTATGAATTTCTTATCAGCATGAAATCAGTTGTCGATCGTTTCAACAAACTGAAAGCAGAGCATCATCAACTGCTGAATCCTGCTGCAGAAGTCAAGGTAACCACTCCAATTTTCTTTCTGCTGAATACCTGCATGTATAGAGGCATTATATCTATATCAAATACTGCCAAACATTAAGCAATAAACTTCGTTGACAATGAGTACATGCTAGCCAGAATTGCTTTCATAAAGTTTCTATGCTCTACTTAATGCCTATGCATACATAGCACTTCTTCAATTCCGTAGCTCTATGGTTTTGCCTATGCATAGTAACAAACATTAGCAAACATAATCCCTCCTGACTCCTGAGCAATGTTGCATTACATCTTTTGGAGAGATTATAGAAAAGCAAACATAGAAATAGCAAGAAAGTAGTCTTTCTTGGTCACGAATTTAACTGTACGGAAAAGTACATGATAGAATTAGTCTAGATAGTCTGAAATAACATTACGGAAGGGACATGTATGCCTAGAAATATAGAAATTACGACTCGGATATTACCACCAGTTGTCACTACAAAACTTCTGAGACAATCGTAGAGCTCTATCCTCTTCAATGCATTCTTGGCCTAACTCATTAAGAGACTCATAAAGGATTATAAGGAAAACAGGCTAAATACATTGACAAACCTGCTAAGTGGCTGGAGAAATCAAACAATTGCACCATTTTCCAAAGGCCTAAAACACATAAGAATGAAAGCCTGAAATAAATTATCAAAACGTGAGAACACTTAGGTCGGAAGAGTAGTGGATCGCAAAAGGAAAAACAATCCGATGCCTGGAAATACAAGATCATTCAGGAAATTCAGGTACATATTCTTGCGACGCTGACAAAAATCAACTGTGGAGTCCAGATAGGAAAAGAAACACTTAAGAGAAGGGATTTGTGTTATTGACCTTGTCCTTCAACAGACTCAGGTGAAATGCGGTGTTTAATGAAGTTATAAGGTATACCATGCAAACTAGTCATTCTTCCTGGTTGAAGGTTTAATTTAAAATACTAATACTACGACACAATGAGGGAAAGGGATATGAGTTTCACTAATGATTTGCATGATCAATAGACTGCTCTGGGAAAGCTTCTTTCTCATATATGATACAGCTGACATTAGTTAAGTTTAGATAACTTGTTAAAAGATAAACTGAAGTTCTAGCAAATAGAAACACAAGTCTACAAGTTGATATTACAATTCGAATTCTCTTCAAGGGGCTTTCTTCTATATTACTTAGGCAAGGATAGCACTTTCCTTTCAGGGATGCTACTTAAGAAAATACCTGAGTAAAGCCTAGATTATATTGTTTCTTATGAGAAGAGAAGAGAACTACCCGTATCTCAACCACTCTTCAAAAGAATGTAGCTATCTAAAATAGCCACGGTACTCAAAGGAACCATTTAACATCCTTGGAACGCCAAACCAACCTGAAATTGTGGTGGGAAGAATACAAACGTGAACATGTGGAGTTAACAATGAAGCCTGTCTTTTCGGGGTTGTAGATAAAAGGAAAACAAAGATGCAATGCCAGGGCAAGCTAAACTTATCTTATGTACAATAGTCCACTTCAATGAGGCAATGCCTTAAGCTAATGCATATTCATTTGCATTTGCAGAAGAAAATAACAATAGTCCAAAAGAAAGTATTTTGGTGCTGAAGCTTTGATGGTACCAACAGTTTAAGGATCCAACCTTAAGAAAAATTCCATTGAATAATAGTTCGTTTGTCTTGAACCAGCAGTTTCAAACTATTCCAACTCATATTCAATTAGAGGGCTTTATATTTACGAAAAGATAGACAACCTGGTAATCCTGCCCAGGCTAAAATTTCAATAATCAAAGGCTTCGGGCATCAGAATTCTGAAGAAACAACAAAGAAGTTAATATATTGATCCAATGAGAAATTCGACCTGCCCCACGTAATGAAAAAACTTCAGCGTACGATTGCAGTACGGTGGAAGGGAATATTTCCATTTCCATAGTTATTGGTAACGTATAGTTTCTGGAAATGTAAATCAAGGCCTCCCACAAGAATTCCTCGATTGATGGGAAGAAAAATTGAAGAAACAAGTGCAGAATGAAAATCTTTGTGTTGATGGACACAAATGGTGATAGAAATGGTGTGGGCAAGCAACTTCCATATCTTTTGAAATCCAGCAATAACGATGAAGAGAAAATGGTGACATGGTTGTATCCTAGGGTTTCAGTAAAACATGGGAGCTATTAGAGTTTACCAAACAAGATTGCAGCACTTCTGAACAGCTTACAACGGGTGAATGTTATCGTCATTTGCTCTTTAGTGCGGAGGATACTATGCATGGCAGGTATCCTTCAATTTCAATAAAGGTAAGTCATCGGTAATGTTGTTGTTTGTTCCATCAGTAGAATGGTGTAGACACCTGCTCTCAACAAGTTTGTACCATTAGTCGTCATCGAGTAGCTTAGTAAATAAGTGAAAATGCAACCTTTAGAGCAGACATAAGATGCACGTTTGGGATCAAACAAGGAATAATAATATTCACCAACATAAGATGCACGTTTGTCACAAACCTCAAACCATACACCATCTGAGTGGACCATCCATGATGTTCTCAGTTGGCATGGTCCATCGGGCTAGTCGACCATGTGTGGTATAGATGTATTCATGTAAACACCAGTCAACGGGCATTGGCCTTTGCTTTATTCAGATTGGCTATGATAATGATAAGAATAGAAATGGAACAAAGCGAGTTACTACCATATGGTAGCAAGACTTCCTTGAAACGGATTCTTGGAAGAGCCAGACAGAACAGCAAAGAAACCACCAAATTGTGCCCTAAACTATGATGAAATTTGTAGTTCACCAATGTTCCTATAATCTTTAAATTGTGAGTACATGCAACCAAAACCAATTGGTGATAAGTGGAGAGGCCCAAGATATGTATTTTCAAAACAAATAAAATACAATTAAAAATAATAATAAAATATGCATGCTTCAGACTCCTGATGTATGATTTTACATTTGCTAACATTTTCTAGTGCTCCTATAAATGCTCATCTAGTTAGTTCTTATTTCATGCATGACAACATTTATTGAATTTATACCAAATAGTTTTGGCAAAGGGAGGCAGCAAGCTTGAGGCAACAATTGCGGTACTTGGAAGAATGCCACAGGTACAATCATTGCTTTATATTGAATCTTCAACACAGCCTAGCAATTTGATTCAAGTACCAAAACATAACAATGCATATTTCATGTTGCTTATTCAAAAGGATATCATACTAATAAAGGTTCATCTAACTACCAGCCCAGAAAACCTTTTCAACGTGGAGGAAGACTAATGAAACGAGGTTTCTTGATTATTGATAAGAAACAGAACAAATAATTAGCACCAATTGAAGAAATACAGTAGCAGTGGACAAGAAGTCCACTGAAGCTACCAGAAAAAATAAATAAATTAATAAATAATCAGTATCTAGCTGCTCAGCCCCAACATAGAAAATATAAATGCAATCTCAAGAGATCTTCACAAAAGGAAACAGGAAATGTCTCTGAACTCTTAAAAACTGAGGACCACAATGGAGCCCAACAACACATTGACATAAACCTGAATGATCTGGGTGTTCCCTATGCTTCCTCCTTAAAGCGGTTTTTAAAAGAGACGAAGTTTTTAAATCAACTGAAATGCAACTTTGTTAAAAACATTTCACAAAGTAACATTCAGTGTATATGAATTAGTTTGTGAGAATGTTTAAAGTGTACCCACACACCTTCTGTAAATTATGCAGGCAGTTAATGGGGGAAGAACTTTCTGGTTTTAGTGCCAAAGATCTACAGAATTTGGAAAGCCAGCTGGAGATGAGTTTGAAAGGTGTCCGGACAAAAAAGGTATCAAAAGCCTGAGCCCTGATTATAGTCTCACTTAATAATTCCATGCTCCCTTCTTTATATAGCACATGCATGGCACTCATTTTTTTTTTCTTTTCTATTCTGCAGAACCAGATATTTAATGATGAAATAAAAGAACTGAACCAGAAGGTTGCCCAAGAGCTGGCTCAATTCCCCCCAGTTGATTAATATTAATTCATTTTATTGGGGGTAAATTGATGCTAATTACCGTTGTTTTTCTACTTTATTTTCAGGAAACTTTCATACATCAAGAAAATATAGAACTGTATAAGAAGCTAAACCTCATAAGTAATGAGAATGAGGAACTGCAAAAGAAGGTATTATCTACACATTAAGCTCTACTTTTGTATTTAACACATAGTATAATTCATCTAAAGGATAGAGAGAGGCAATGGGTAGGGAACGCAAAGATGTTTTCTCCAGCAAACACTAACACAGAATATTTTAACCTCAGGTTTATGAAGCAAGGGAAGTGAATCGAGGAAACAAAAGTTCCCAGCCTCCATATAGCATCAGTAATGAATATGATTTGCATGCACCCATTCATCTGCAGCTAAGCCAGCCACAGAATCAGACTCAGCCTGGGCCTGGTCCTAAGAACAATGAAGTACCAGCAAAAGCAATATATAACCCCTCTAAAGTGTAATATAGCATACCATATTGATTCCAATGGACCCACCCCCAAAAAGAAAAAATAAGCAAAGCTCACTATTTTGATTATGTTATTAACATCTCTTCAAATCGTGCAACAGATTACAACTGCATTAGCAAACCTGTTTCACAGTTGTGGATCACCATGTCATAATGCAGAATGCAGACAACTTGCACCGCAGTGAAAGCCAATCTTCTAGGAGTGAAATGTCATACTTACAGTAAATGTATCCAACCGAAGGACCAAAAGCTTTGGTACGAAATGTTCTGTCAAACAAACTTCGCATTTCTGTAAAAGAATTAGACAACCAGTGTGTAAGTTTATACCATATGGGAGAGAATTGTGTCAGGACCAACTTTTATCTGCATTAAATATGTGTTGTGACCAATCAGATAACAATTGTCAATTGTTATACCTATATTTTATTTTAACGAATAAAACATCTTGAACAAGATGACTTTCAAACTGACCAATATGTTTTTATTAATTCTAGCAGCAAAATTCTGATGGAAAAATAGTTAAATAAGAAATATGGAGATACGGAACAATATCATGGAAGATACATTTAAGAAGATAACGATATATTCTCCTTTAGAGAGTTAACCTGTATTTACCCTGCTTGTACCAGGATATGGCTTCTATCGTATTGTTTTATTTTTGTTTTTCTTGTTGTTGAGGATTCACAGGTATATTGAGAAAAACATCTTTTGCATGAACAATTAGTACTTAACAATCCAGTTATTATTTCAGATAAACCTTGTACCTCTAAGAACAAAGTATTGATAACTGTAGATAAACAACCTGCTGAAACTATGAGTCAGCAACATACGCAGACTAACAGAGTAACACACAGAATAGATGAGAAGAAAAAAAAAAAGGCATGTCCTATAAACAGGATGAAAATATTTTTATAACTAGTAAACATTTATAAACCAACAAAAAAATTTTAACTATAATTTCTAAGAGTTTATCAATTTGTAGTTGAGTTAAAGATTAGCAGTACATGAGATCACTCATATGAAGTTTGTTATAATTCTGGAGGTGAAAAAGAAAGATTTCCCTGAGTTCCATTCGTAAATTCCCTTGTCACTTAAAGGTAGTACATTAGAAAGTGCAGTGACAGAAAGCCAGAATTTCAAACGTTGAACTCCCGAGAAGTAGATTACCCAAAACCACACACATTAAAGGAGATCTGAGATACCACAATGAGAATGTGTGCACTATGTTCACATTTTATATCACTACCACACAGATAATACAGAAACACAAGTAGGCATGGGTTAATATATTTAGTCCGCACAATGTCCAGCGCATTAGCAAACCCATTTACTTTGATTTATTAATTTGGCACATAATGAGAGGCAAACCACTAGAATCTTTGTAATGTAAGGGCTTAATTGCATTAGTAGGGCTTGCAGGCTTCTATGATGTACTCAGAGAAATTAAAACGTAGGGAGCTTTAATGAAAAGGGTTTGGGCCAACAAATATTTAACCAAAAACCATCCTAAAATGTTATTTAACCAAAAGGGCTCAAAGTTTAATAAAAAATCATCCAAAACTATTGTCTACCTTTTTCGTGCCCTTATCCTCCTCTTCCTCGTCATCGTCCTCATCTTCATCCTCTTATCTGCACCACAAACAATTTATAGTGTTAGTATTTTATTCCAATCAGATCCAATAAGGCCCTACGGTCCCGGTGATGTAACTACATGTCAGACGTCACGTCTGTAAATAGGAAAAAAAAGAAAAGAACCAAAACATAACACTGTTTGTGGAAAAAAAATCAGATACAGTGTTTGTTTTTTCTATGCACAAACAAACACTATATCTAGAAAGAAAAGAACCAAAATCCAGAAACAGTCTATGTTTTAACCTTTGATTGTTTCTTTTCTTTCATGCATCAGTTGATTATATTTAAGAATTAGGATGCTTATTTTGCTTTGAATCCAAATACAATGAATTTCACTATTTCTTTTTTAGCTTACATTTAAGAAACAGTGTGTCTATTTCATTTGGATCCAGAAACAGTGACTTAGATTCCAGGAACAGTTTATTTTTATAGTCCATAAACAGTGATCTGTTGTTATTATTAAATAAAATGCATATCTCAAATTTTTTTTCTGGAGTAACAAACGATGAACTCTACTAACGAAGAAAAATTGAAAAACAGTACCTCAAATACTTTATGAATAATAACAACGATCACGTTTCAACGAAATAATACAAAATATACATTAAATAGCATAAGGATCTATATTTTTGTTTCAAAGAAAAAGAAGAAGGTCTGCAAAACAACGATGAACTCCATTAACGACAAAAATTTGAAACTCAACCTAAAAAAGTTAGGGGTAAAATCGACAAATCATAATTTATTATAGTTAGGCCATTTTTAGTTGGACTACTTTAATATGGGCCTTGTACTAATCATTAAACAAAACTTATAACATGGTTTTTTTATTAAAACTAAAACTTTTCAAGCCCTTTTCATTAGTTTTCCTTAAAACGTATAGTGCATTATGTGCATCTGCAGTGAAAATTTATAAGAGGAAAGACCTTTACACTGAAATTCTGAAAATCATGGAAGATCCAAATCTCCCGCAGCAATCTTTTCAATCTCAGCTATCACAGCTAACAGATAGGACAATTCACTACTGTCGTTAAAGCTGCTCAACATGATTTTAATCCAGAAAGGAAACTTCCAAATAGTAGATTGCTGGCTCAACAATTTTTGCCAAATTGAAACTGTTCGTATTATTAGCCACTGCGCTAGTCTAAAACAGGCCTCCTGAATGATTGAATAAGATATTTTACTACAAAATCTTCAACTATATCCACTGTTTCTAAAACCAATTTGTGGTTGATATGTGGTAAGTAGTAACTTTCTGGTTTATTTGTAATCATGATAAAAAAACATAACCAGTGCATATTTAATAACTTCAAAGGCAATCAATACATATTTAATAAACTAGAAGGTCATCATGCTAATACTTTAAAAGTATAACACTCTTCTCAAGATTTACTCCTGCTTCCAAGACACATTTTAGAGGCCCAGGATTTCAAGAAGGAATACCACTCACTGCTGCCATTCTATGGTATGCCTAAAAGATAAAATGAACAAGAACAGCAGCAAGCATAAAAAAAAACAAGCTACTAACACTTCTGATTTGAAGAAAAAATGCTTCATGGTTGGTATTTATTGTTATCCTAAAATCAAAGAGGGGGCTGCCTGCTCTACCATGATTTCACGAAATGCATGTCTTAAAAATAATCGATTTTCTGGTCTTCTATGAAATCTATTAGATAAAGCTCAACCACTGATTTAAATTTTGAATCTCAAACAAACAGTGCGCAGCAATCAAAAAGCAAATCTACTATAAGCTAACCCAAGATTCTTGCCTGTGTGGAAACTATGATCAATATTTTAGCTCTTTAGTTGCAAAATAATCCTTTGTTGTTGGTGACCCAATATTGGAGGAATTTTTGTGCCAATTGATGTTAAATGCATAAAAAGGTAATGAAGATAAATTAATCACCCATTTACTTAATCACCATTTGCTAAACAAGTGTGGAACAATCTTTATTTACATTTGGGATTCAACAGGTGCTAAAAAAACTCTCTATTTAATCTTCTAAAAGGTGACCTAGGAGTTTCCAGATAAGAAGGGATGCAATCCAATTTTCACTACCTCCATTTTTCTTGAAAACTGAGTAAATATTTCTATCAAAGTCTCCTAGATGAGATGTTGCTTTCAATTTTTTAATTCACTTTGCATGCTACAAATGTACATATGCTACCTTGCTTGGTCTGAAGAGTCCTTTGAATATTTTTTTGTTTTTTTGTGTTAACAAACTGGGCACAGAGCACAAGAACAAGATAAACAAAAGAAAACTTAGACCTTGAGCTATGAGTCCTCTGAATATTATGTTCTTGGATTAGTGATCAGTTTCAATATTTTTGAATACCAATATAGTATAGAAAGGTGACATAAATAGTTCATGGGAGAAAATTGAGTCATCTGGGAGATATTTTACTCATTAAATGTTCTAGATTCTTTTATACATCCAGTTGCTTCAATTGGAATTATCCGGTGGTTGGAAAAGGAAGGGATATTGGCAGCATGCAAATGAACGATTTGAAGACCTGTTGATTCTAAAAACTGATTGCGGAGTTTATCAGGTTGGGGGGTAGGTCTGGATGGGGAAGTTCTAGCACATTTTCCTTGCTTTGTGTGCGAAGTACTTCACTTAACTTGAGGTACTGGGTGTAGCTTTTCGATGGGAAAAGATGCCTAATATTAAAACAATCAAGTACTTAGAAAAGTTTTTATTTCTAAACACCTCTTCTTCCAAACTTAATCTGTACTTAAGAACTTGAGTTTCTATAACTAATATGGTAATCAGGTATGCAGACCCATAGATATACCTACATGCGCACGTGCACACACACACATACACACATACATATGGGAAAATAAGATATTAATGATCATACTGTGCTTTACTTATACTGTCACTGTATTTATACAGATGTAAACTTTACATCTGTATACTTCAGTTTGCCTATATTTCACCACAAACGAACCACAATGGCCTAAAACCAATGTAATCAGGTCACCAATGTTGCGGTTTGCTTTGGTTCAGTTTGCGGTTTAACATGCATGTTTACCCAATGGAAAATTCAGAGCTATTGACAGAGTAAATATTAGAAAAAATTTGTCAACTTATCAATTAAAAAAAATCTTTGTCAACATTGGAACTTAAATTTACAAGTTCATAACGTGAAAATACTTAATCTCATAACTCAACTAAAAGTCTCAAACTTCTAATCTCATAACTCCAAGATGTTTGATAAAATATTAATATATATAATATTTATGCGTGTTCTTCATACAATATTATATGTATTATGTATTATGTACTATTTTATATTTTATTATAAGTGGTTTGGTTTGGTTTGGTTAACCCACGTTTGTAAAAATCAAAACCACATACTAAACTGATTCCTTCTGTCTGGTTTGGTTTTATAAACCAACAACAACAACATAGCATTTCCCCCCTAGATGGGGTTGGCTAACCAACCAACCAAAATGGCTTGGTTTGGTTGGTTTTTCAGGTTTTCGTTTTCTTTACCCAAGTCTAATGTAAACCTACACCTATTATCTTATACTTTAATAAAAAGTGAATTATCACATTCTTGCTTTTACTTTTTAATACACTAGATACATAATGGTGGCTTATTGCTTGAACCAAGTGCAGAAGTTGGTGAGTTACTTTCGTACCAAAGCATGGATAATTTGGCATCCAATCTATTGATCCACAAACAAAATTTTCAATGGGTAGATTCAACAGATACCCATGATCCATAAGGCTTCATAGAGATTACTGAAAACCCAGACCAATTTATATTAAAAAATAAAACCCTCAATTGCTTTACGCAATACGAGCAGAATTGATTTATACCAAAAGATGGATTAATTAATAACAATGGGATTAACAATCGTTCCTTCTTGAGTAACAATGGGATTATGCAATATTTTCCACCCTATTCACAGATTTGGAAATCAAAAGTTCCTCCGAAGGTCAAAATTATTGTCTGGCTGGTGGCCAAAGGGAAGCTCAACACTTGTGACCAAATTCAAAGGAGAAGCCATTTTATCTGTTTATCCCCACATTGGTGCAGTTTGTGCAAAGCTAAGGAGGAGAGTGTAAACCACATTTTTCTCCATTGTTCTTACACGATTCAACTGTGGTGGAAATTGTTTCAGGAGGTTAGAGCTAGTTGGGTCATTCCAAAGGGTTGCTTCGAGCTTCTAAGCACCAAGTTTCAAGCCCTAGGAATTGGGAGGAAAGCTAAAGTTTTGTGGGGTTGTCTGGTCTCGGCAGTTTTTTGGAATATTTGGCTGGAGCGTAACAAAAGAATTTTTGAGGATTATTCGGGTGTGGGGGTAGAAGTACTTTGGGGAAGAGTAAAATTTTGGGCAGCCCTATGGGCTTCAGTCTCAAATGATTTTAATAATTACTCTCTTTCTCAATTACTGTGGGATTTGTTAGCAGCAGTAAAGTGAGTTAGGTCTAGCTATTGTTGCTGTAGCCAAATCCTATTGAGAGTTTTTCTTGTTTCTTGTAAATGGTGGATTTCTTATCCACTTCAATGTATTTCTCTTTTCTTTTATAAAATGTTTGTTTCTTCTCAAAAAAAAAATTAATAACAATTTTTTTTTTTTGAAAAAAAAATAAATTAATCAAACTAGCCTAGTTGAAAATGAAACTCAAAAGGTACATCCAATCAAGCTTGTGGATGCATTCAAGGGTCATTTTGGGACTGCTTTTGTAGGAAGAACTTATGCTCATAAACTCTTTTTTCTAGAAGACAAATTCAAATGACCCAAAATCATTATCAAGTTTTTCTGCCAAATGATGTTGGTAATGGTTGGGCCTGTCCTTAGCAGAAAGCACCTTTAGCCGTTCCAGAAGCAGTCCCAAACTATACATGTTAGTACTAACTCCTTACTACATCATCATATATTACTATCTGAATGGGCTGGTCACCGTATTACTCTTGTCTCTAGCACCATAACATGAATATGATAAGAAAACATTACCCTACACACACACATATATATATTCCTAATACACAGCAGAAAAATGTACAAACCCAAAACTTTGCAACCGTTCAAGTAAATATCTACCAAAAAGCTTTAGAAACTCTAATATTCAGTACTAGCCCAAACCCTAAACCCCAATCCCTGTGGGCATATAATAAATAACTAACTTGCATCCAATTAAAAGTGCTATTTCTTTGTAAAAAATAGAATTTCATTACCTGTTGCACCAATTTCAATCCAATCCAATCCAATCCAATCCAATGCAATACATCCACCTCACATTTGATCGAACAAAAACCGCTACGCCGAATCATCCCAGCCTCAAGCTCTACTGTCAATATACGGAAGGAAATGCAAGAAAATACATAAATATCAAAAACCATCACAAACAGAGGAAATACTTTCAGTACATACACGTTACAGAAATACAGTCGCCGCACAGACATGCATCTTCAGATGCACATTACGACATAAATAACTATATATATGTATACATACATATACACACATATATACACATATATGTTTATCGTCTTCACCTGTGCGTGAAAAGGTAGCCATGAAAAAGACCTCTGCGGATCTGAAGTCCTCGATTACAGGAAACAAAGTGTGATCAGCAAGAAGCTTAATTCGGACTAAGGAGAGGAGATGAAATCTGGTTCAACAAGCAATGAAGAGTCCGAATTCCGACGAAACCAGAAGGAGAGTTGCTTGTGTGTAGAGAGAGAAGAAAATATCTTAGGAGCTGTTGATTACATGAGCCCACGTAACTTGGGCCCCATTAACGGATACGAGTTTTGTGTACAAGTGTCGCATTGGCTGCCAATGTGGCATATACTAATGAATCCGGACCTTTTTGTGGAGAAATTTTTAGTTGTGACAGGACACGAATGATACATCATGTGTTTTTATGTAAGTTGTGAGAAATTTTATTTTTTAAGTTATTAACTTTTTAACACATATATCCCACCAATTTATATAGTGACACGTGGTGTACCAGCCCGTGTAATGGTCATCCTGAAAAATCTCTCCTCTTTGTGAGGATTCGGAAATCTGTAAATTGTATCTGTTTATCGTACATCGTGCGGTTAGTTTTTGTCAAATATTGTTTATGTTCAATTTTAAATAATAAAATTTAAAATAATTTATGATCGCACGATGTACGATGAACGTATACGATACATGGATCTAAAGAATCATCACAAAGACGTGCTTATTTTATACTAACATCATAAATGGTCTTTGGATATGTTAGGTGTAGCATCCCACATCGTCCAGGGGAATGGATGTTGTAAGCCTTATATGTATATTCTCATCTCTACCGCATTTTGGGAGCTTATTGACTTTGGGTTCCATCGGAATGTCAAAGTTAAGCGAGTTCGCGCGAAAGCAATCATAGGATGGGCAATCCACTGGGAAGTTCTCGTGTGAGTTTTTAGAAACAAAATCGTGAGGGTGTGGTCGGGGCCCAAAGTGGACAATATCGTGCTACAGTGAAGTTAAGCCTAGGATGTGGTGGGGGCCAGGGCCGGGATGTGACATTAGGAGATTTTTTTTAAGCATTAATTAACGTGCTTAGTTATTATTATTGATATATTTTTTAGTTTACAAATTTGGTTTATATTTTGGTCTGCAAATTTAGTTTAAAATTTTGATTACTCTAGCATTATCCATAATCTTTAAATTGAACTAACTTATCATATAGTTTTTAACTTTGGAAAATAATTAAAATCGTCTTTAAACTTGACTATTGCACATTAAGTTGTTCATTGCCGTTTAATTTCTTCAAGTTTTAGCACACTTGTGGCCAAAACAACCAATGATTTAGTGTCATTTAAACTACATATTAATGAAAAAAAAATTTGTCAATCAAAAGAGGGTAAAAAGACATTTTTATCTTTTATCACAACAAAAAAAATTAAGAATAGTAACTTAATTTCACAAAACAATATTTTGTTGTTTTTTATTTAAGCCTCACCTACAAGTGATTTTATCATCTTTAATTAAAAATAAAAAGATAAAACATAAAACATAAAAAAATAAACATCTCTCCCTCTCTCTACTCCAACGTTCTCTCTCACCCTCTTCCTCTCTTCTTTAATTTAAAAAATAAAAATAAAAAATTTCACACACTTTGTGTGTGGACATATACTAGTGTAAATGATAACAAAAGAAATATTGCTATTTAAGCAAATAAAATTAGGAATCTTTTAGTGTAAATACCGATTTTCAAAGAACTTTTAGCTAAAATATCATTTTCTTGGTTTAGGTGAAATGAAACGTTAACTAAAACAACTCTATAAATATTATAATAAAATATAATTACTTGATTACCGCTCAATCTACCACATTTTAGATCGGTTGATCACATTTGTTGATTATCAACCAATTATAATTTTTTTAATTTTGTGTGCATACATGTAGATACATGTAAAAATTAATTAACTCACGCAAGAAAACATAATTGAAAATTGACTGTGGCCGATGACAATTTGTGCAAAACATAATTGAAGATTGATCAAATTTTTTTGCTACCATCAAAAGTTGTTTTGCTTATGATCGGAGACAGTTAGTTTTCGGCTACCTGCCGATCAAAACATATTATTTTATCGAATGATCAAAATGATTTACAATCGATGATTAGAGTTCACATTAATATATTTTTAATGCGAATCAAAGTGAAGAGATGGCATAAGAGGATGATTTTGGCTCAAACGCCATGCTTGAAAACATTTATAATTGCCTGGTTTCGACCGAAAAAAAAAAAAAAAAAAAACCTTTGCCTGGCCCCGCCGTAGCAATCTCTCGCTGAAGTGAAGTCGACCCTCTCCTGAACGGCGCCGTCAATGCCTCATTCCCTTGTCGGAAAATGGAGAACCACCATCTTTGCGCCGGCTTCTCCGCTGTCACAAGCCCGGAGCTTCCGTTCAGACGCAGCGTTCGAAGCCCTGGCCAAAGCCTCTCAAGACAAAGTTCCCAACTTGCTTCTTTACAACTACCCTTCTTTCTCCGGAGCTTTCTCCGCTCTATTCGCTCATCTCTTTCACTCTCGCCTCAACCTCCCCTTTCTTTCTCTACCCTTCTCTTCCGTCGAACCCTTCAGGTTCAATCCCTCTCTCTCTCTCTCTCTCTTTTATATTTCTTAGCATCCAAACATTCCCTTAACTTTTTGTACTTAATTTTTTAATTTTGGTTTTACAGAGTTGATGAGTTGCGGACTGAAGGGCTGGAAAGGTGCTATCTTGTTGATTTTCTTGGCCGGGAGGGATATGCGGTCGAGCTTGCGCAGAGAGCTTCGTGCGAGTAAGTTTCCATTTGTGCATTCTCCAGTGATCAATTTGTTTTGAAATGCATGTACATTTGTGTGAATGATTGAGATGTAGTTGTTGCCAAGTTGTTTTGCTTATGATTAGCGACTGTTGGTTTCAAATTTCAATTAGGGTAATTGCTTTTGATCATCGAAAAAGGGTACTTCCACGGATACCCTCTAAGGAAGATTGTCCAAAGAACCTCACATTTCATGTCAATCTTGAAAAGAGCAGCTCTAGGGCTGTGTATGACTACTTTTCAGCTCAACTGGCCGGTATTAAATATGCTAATGTAAGTTGGATTGTGAATCCTTTTCATTTGCAGTTTTGGTATTGAGAAATGGTGTATTGAGATTCTTCAATTTTATTTTGCTTTTCTTGAAATTAGGGAATGGATGCAAGTTTATTAGAACCTGAGGACAGAGATCGTGTAGAAATGGTACTTAAGTACATTGAGGATGGAGATCTCCGTCGGTGGAGCTTGCCTGATATTAAGGCATTTAGCATTGGACTCGGCGAATGGCGCTCCAAGTTAAATTGTGTTACTAATCCGTACATGTATGAACAGGTTAGGAATGTAAATTTGAACAACACGCCTACCCATCCCGGGAATACTTATCCCTTCATTTTCAGTTCACCATGCCTAGTTCTGAAGTCACTGTTGACTTTCTTAATATCATCCTTGTTGCAGTTACTGGAAATAAATGCTGTGGATGTAATTGCCAAGGGGATGTCTTATATTTCCGCTCGCCAGAAAGCTGCAAACAAGTTACTGGATAAGGTTTTGAAAATAAGACTGGGCAGAGGGTTTTATGGGGAGTGTCTGGTAAACTATTGATTTCTCCCTTTCAAACTGTTTGCCTATGTGCTACTTTGTCACGATTAGTTTACATTGACGACAATGGTTTAGTAGGATTTGCATGATTGGCATGAAATTATGTAATGCCATATTATATGATAGGATTAAAAGCAGTTATTCTATTGCTTCCTCAATGGTTTCTTCTCACCATTTCTATTTCCTAGTTTGATCCTTTGGAAGTATATAACCAGATGTTTATTCCTACATTTTTATTGTAGGGAGTTAGAGCAGACGGGAATTCTGAGTTAAGTGATGAAATGGCCAAGCAGCTTAGTGTAGAAAGCTGCTGCTGGTCTTAGGTAATTTAACTAGTAATTTTTTTTACAGTTTCTATTTCTTAAAAGGATCTGCTCTCTTAATATAAGATAATTTCTGCACTTTAACGCAGATGCCTATCTATAAAGTCAACAGTTAAGTATGGAATTGGTTTATAGGTTTTGTATGGACTTGGATTATATGATCTGCCCCCAAACTGTGCACTAGATTCCTTTAACTTTTTAATTGCGTGACCCTTAATTATGCAAGGTTCCTGGGGATATACAATTGGCTTGATCTTTACATTCATGCCAAAACGTTTCCGTAAAGGCTTTCAGTAAGATGCTTCTATTTTTTGTTCAGGCTTTCACAGAGTCAGAATGTAGTTCATTTAGTTTAGGATTCCCTAGATCTTGTAAAATTGATGACCCAGCAAAATTTGTTTAGGAGAAGTATGAATGTCGAGCAAGACATTTATAGGTGTTGTGGCTACAATTTTATTAGAAAAGAAATATCCACTTTGGATGCGAAGACTAAGCCTATTAGTAACAATAGAATAAGTTAAAAGGTCAATCTAAGAGTTAATGTCAAGCGCCAATAAGAGTGAATGCCTATTTGAACCTAATTTTGAAACAATCTCTTTTAAGTTTTCTAAGGGTCTCTTATTGTTAAACGAGTCTCTTGATTTTTCTCTGTAATTTAAGGGATAGATTTTGAAAGCCCTGGTGCCTTGAGATGTCCTTTACTTTCTCATCTACCTTTTGTCGTCCATTCTTCTATGTTTCACCAATTTCTATAAAAATGGCCATGTATAGCTAATAGCTATTCTATTTACTATATTTTACAATCTAAAGTCCACCACAACCCTGAGTACAAACCAGTTTGTCTTGTTCTACATCATATTGGTATTAGAGCTCATGTTGGCTCTTTTTTGGATGGCGAGGAGAGGAAGGAATCGAAGAATTTTTTACGATCAAGAAGAACAGGTGGATTTTTGTAGGGTAGGATTCACACTTCTCTATGGACTTCTTTGCCTAAACAGTTTAAGATGTTCCCTTGATATTTTTTTTATTTGTCTGTTTTTCTGGTTTAAGAGTGTTTGTGAATGTATAACTCACAATGTACTTGTATTCTTAGGGTTTTCAGGGCCTAGGCTTTGTGTAGCATAGGATTTATGGTTTTGAGTCTGACTGCTTGCTGTTTGCATTTCTGCATTTATAGTTCATAAGTAATCAAACTTTGGTGGAGGAATTTGCACTGTGTAGTGTTCGTTGGATTAAGTTTCAGAATATCTCAAAAGCATTTCCATTCATGATGCAGGCCTATTGGAGCGGTTATATTCATGCAACGAAGAAACCTGAAAATGTGTTTAAGGAGTACTGATACTGCTACTGATACCTCTGAAGTTGCAAAGGTGTGGCTTCAATACTTATGTGAGCAGTATTTCTTTTCATTTTTTACTTTTTTTGCATAACTATTGAGTTTTAGTGTTGTCATCATCGTCACTATTAATTATTATTATAGTTGTTGTTATTATTATTTCTGATAATGCAACTTGATGTGTGAAGGCATTTGGTGGAGGAGGCTCCCCAAGTTCTAGTTCTTTTATTATAAGAATGGATGAGTACAATCAGTGGGTTTCAGGATATTCAAGATGAACATGTCAAGATGTGAAACACTATCGTTAAGGTAATCCTCAAAATTCGTTGAATTACCCAACCACCTCTTCTTGCTGACCTTTCTATTTAAGCTATAAATACAGAAATTTTAATCAGGTGTTCTACCTATCTTATTTTCATCTTGGAAATTTAATATTTTCCTGCAACAACTTTTGAATTTACTCGCACAAGTGAACTTTGCTCCGTGCAAACAAACATTACCATTATAAGGATGACAGGGTTCAATTATATTTTTTTAACGTATCTTGCTATATAACCATTCTTAGAGTCTCTTCCAAAGTCTTCCTAGGTCTTCCTCTACCTCTTCGGAGGTTTAGGGTCGATGGGGTAGAGGAAGACCTAGGAAGACTTTGGAAGAGACTCTAAGAAAAGACTTAGAGTACTTGGACCTAATAGAAGACGTGACACAGAACCGAGTGCAATGGCATTTTAGGATTCATATAGCCAACCCCACTTAGTGGGACAAGACTTTGTTGTTGTTGTATCTCGCTATATAGTCGTTAGTTTTCACCAGTTCAGTGAGTCTAATAGATTTCGGTAAACAGTTTGAAGTTCAATGTTCCAAGCCGTTGTCAATTATTTCCAATGGGGTGTGGTGAATGCCTTGTGCATTTGGATGTGGCCTATGTCAAATATTGTGGAGGATGAGAAAGATTGGTTGCAAATTATTCAAAACTAAGTTTAGATTAAGATCGTTCTATATGGCTATGAGGGCTCTAAGTAATGGGTACTTCCCTTGTAACGAGATATGGGTCTACAAATCCTCCCAAGTAGCCATTTTCAGTTTGATTTCCAATCAACAGAAGAGTTGGATAAATTTAACTTGTTTATGTCTATTGTTTTTGTTTTCGCATAAGAGATAGCAAGCGAGTGATTCATCTTTATCACCTTAGGAGACAAATCCATTGTACATTCAATTATTTTCTAATAGCTTCTCGTTCTGTCTCTGCAATTTTAAAAATAAAATCACTTGTAACTGGTGACGAAAATGGGCTTTAGTTCACCGGACAACCGTCAACTGCTATGCCCTTGGCGGTTGGACAAGTAGCCAAGTCACAGTGTTCACCATTTGCACCCCACCAGGTCAAACTTTTATTCTCCATGCCTACTGAAAGGTACAATAGAACTGCCATGAATGCCACCCCAGCATCCATCGCTGCTGAAAGAATATAGTTGTACCTCTGCCACCAGTTCTTCCTGTAACGGAAGACAAAAAAATTGAAAATGGTTCCGACTATGATCCAGGAATTGTAGTTCAATGCTGTTGCTGGTGGCATCAAGCCTGTTGCTCCCAGAAGGACTGGAAGATTAATCAGCCTTATCCAATGTTGCTTTGGGTATGCCTTGTGCGGTACCCAAACAATGACTGGTCCTACTGCACCTCCAAGGAAGAACCAGTTCATGGCACCATAGTTTCCAAGAGATCCAAATATACGTTTAGGTCCGGCCAAACCCCATATCACGGATGCATCAAAGAAAACTCGGTCATTTGGGCATGTCCAAGGACTATCCGAATGAGGATCATCCACGCACATATTCTTGATAGAGTTTAGCAACCAATGTGCTACTGCAAGGTTGACGGTTCCTGCTAGAATCGTTCCTATGAACTAGGCATACATGTAAGAACGCATCAGAATATATTCTGAAAAGCAAAGTAATAATATAAACTGGAATATGTCATAGTAGATTATTTCAGATTTTAGTTCTTTACTTCAGCTCTCCTGGTATTTGTTAAGAGGTACTACTTTTAGAAAAAATCTCAAGCTTTTCACAAGAATTTTAAGAATGTTTTCAACTATGCCATTAGATTTTTCATTTGTATGTTTCTGTTGCATTAAATTTAATATACCTGAACTAAAAACATTGATCTTGGAGGGATCTTCATGTAATGCCCAAGCTTGAAATCATTCAGGAAGGAGACTGCCTGAGCCATGCTCATATAGCCATAGGTTTTGAAGCATACATTGGCTATTGGTCTTCCCGGTAACATGATTCCCATGACGTACTCTGTTATTATGTTTATCCCTGGTGTCTGTACATGGAGATTGGAACAAGGGGCTGAAATGATGTCCTCTGTGTTATATTTATATAAAAATAAAAGTATCAATTGTTGTCAATTATAATGCGGGAGTGTGATGTTATGAACTTATGCGTCCAATTAATTTGAGCTGGATAAATTTATAACCAGCCGTTTAAAGTTGTATATCACTAAACTCAAGTGTTGTGTCATGCATTTGTTTACTGAGCATGTGACATGAAAGTCCAGTATAGGCCACCGTGCATGGAAAAACCCACATGACTACTCTAGATAAGCTGTTGTAATGATAACTTGATAGGTTTGACTTTCAATCAAGTTATCCTTTTGCTGCAAGTTAAATGAAAAAGTGAAGACGTCTGAGTCACCTGGTTTGTTGTTGCTGTTATGATGCTGATAGGAAGGGTGAATGTAAAGGCCATGGCACCAGCAAATAGGAGTCCCCACCATGGCAGCTGAACCTCATCATTCAAGACGATGCAGAGTACAAGAGAAACTGCTACTGTAATGATGAGCAACATGTAAAACCACCAGCTAGGTATGTCCTTGTATCTTCTCATCAATCTTGTATGGATATCTTCCTTTCCTTTGTAAGAAGAACGATAGCAATCAAGGATCTCTCTGCCATTTAGGTACATCAAAATGTAACTGACTTTAAATCTCTCAGAATGAGAATCTTATAGGGGAGAATTGTGCTTTTGTAGTTGATTTAAAAGGTCATATATGTTATTTCTTTTCATATGTATGTGTGTGATAAAACATTTAGGAAAACTGGAGGAAAACAAGTGAAGTAACATGATCAGACAATGTGTCACGTTGTTACAAACACTATTCAAACAGAAGAAACAACGCTTTTACTATCAATATGCAATAAACATTAAAAGAATTAAGTAAACGCTAATGTGAACACGGAAATTCATGCGATGAACAAGACAATAACATGTGTACAAAAATAATATTGTATTAATGATTTAGGGGTTACAATCTCTCTCAAATTTGATCTTCTGATTCGATCTCCGTAAGGTGTTGATTTGTGGATGTGCGATAGATTCAAGGGCCGTCGAGGCTTGATCTTGGATGAACGGTTGAAAGTTTTCTTCAATGGCCGTTGGGGCTTAATCTTGAAAGTTGAGGGAAGTTTCTTCAAGGGCCTTTGGGCTTGATCTTGAAGGTTGATGGATGAACAGATCTTCAAGGCTTTTGGGCTTGATCTTGAATAATTGTTGATGAATAGATCTTCAAGGGCTTTTGGGCTTTGGTTGAATGTGTGGATTTGTTGATGTTGTTGATCCAAAGGGCCGTCGGGGCTTGATTTAGGGATGAACGGATGATAAACGATGAACACTTTCTTCAAGTGCCGTCGGGGTTTGATCTTAAATTAGTGGAAGTTCTTCAAGGCCCGTTGGGGCTTAATCTTGAAGGTTGAGTTGACGAAGAACGAAAAGGGCTTTTTTGATCATTCGGGATTTCTTGGAAATTTAGGAGGTTTGATGCTTGAAAGCTTTAGAACTTCAAAGCTTCAAGGATTTAGGGAATTCTCTTCCAATTTGGGAGTAGAGAAATGTATATGTGAATTCCTTCTTCAATTCCTTTCAATTTTCCTCCCTTGTATGAAATGACTTCTATTTATAGAATTTTCCAATGCCTAATTTTGAATATAATATTAAGATGAAATAAATCGTTTCTACCAGGTATTGACACGTGTCATGTTTGATGACTTTTCCGATTTATTTTGTTTTTTTCGTTTAGTCACACGCTACGTGTAAAATTTATGTGACACGTAAGCGTTGAAATTTTAATTATCAGTCAACATTTATTTTACTGAAATTTTGATGTCTACAAATGCCCTCACTTCAAGGCGCGTCGTATGCATGTGCTTGTCACGTGTAGGAGATGCATTTTGGAGTACCTTAATGTAGACGTAGATCCAAGGGTCATTGAGGCTTTATCTTGAATCGGGCTGGAGATTTCTTCAAGGGCCGTTGAGGTTTGTTCTTGAACTTTTTTCGAAATTTCTTCAAGGGCCGTCAAAGCTTGATCTTGAAGGTTGAAATTGGACCACAAGGAGCTTCATGTGGTAGATGATCTTTGGCTTTGGTAGTGGATGAATTGGCACGTATTTTGTTGCGCTTGTTGACTTTCCACAGCTTTGATCTTGAACTGGGTTGGAGGATTTTCTGGATTCCTCCAATTGTTGACTCTCCACATGTTTATTCTTGAACTGGGTTGGAGGATTTTCTAATTTCCTCCAATTGTTGACTTTCCACAGCTTATTCTTGAACTGGATTGGAGGACTTTCTGGCTTCCTCCGATTGTTTGAACTTACTCTTTTTTTATGTGGAGTTGGATTTGATTCAAGGGTGATGGACACTTGATCCCGAATCGTACTTGTGATTTCTTCAAAGGCCGTCAAAGCTTGATCTTGAATTTGGTTGGAAGCTTCTTCAAGGGCTGTTGAGACTTGATCTTAAAGGTTGATTCGAACTCATGGCAAGCAGGCACGAGGTGAAGGTGACGACCTGTTTCTTTGTTCAATCTTTCTAATTCACACTTGAACAGTTTGGTCAATGGTATGATCTTAAGAGTAGTGGGCGCTTCTTCCAGTTGGTGACTTGATCTTTAAGGATTTGATTCAAGGGTGATGAATCGGCACGTGCAGCTCATAACGCCTAACGAGTCGACCCAAGAATTTGAGGGTGGTGAATCGGCGATGGTGCCGTCAATATGTTGTTGAAGCTTTTTGAGCTCTTGGATTCAACTCAAACTCCTTCTGCTGGGTTGGTTAATTGTGTAGGGAAGGGGAGACTTGATCTTGAAGGAAATCAGCACGTTGTCTCCACCTGCTTCAAGGTATCATTTTCACTTGCCTTATCTGTTCTCCAGGAAAATGTGGCATCTTCTTCGGAAGTACATCAGCAGCTGAAGACGAGTACTCGAGAGTAATGCCAGGTAAGCAACCAGGCAAAGGTTCCAGGTAGTCGGTTCCTTACCCGGAGTTTGAATGAAGGTTCCGACATATTGCTTTCTTTATCCTTATCTTTGCAGGTAAGAACAAGGACAAAGGAAAAGACAGGGAGAAAGCATGATATGAGATACTCTTGCGTTCTACCCTAGTGATATGAGATACTTTTGCTTTGGTGTCATTTGTTTGCAAGGGTATTCCCGGAGAGGAAGAAAACTGAGTATTTCAAAAGGCTCTGCTGGAAGTGTACTCTCGGAAATGAGGAAGGGTTGGGCATTTTTGCAGGTCTACCTTGCTATGGAGGATGAAGATCGACATATATAGGAATTTCCCAACAACCAGTAGTGGCACTATTCCTTTACTCTTGTTGGCAACCGTTGGGTAATTGAAACAGTAAGATTCACGCGTTTTCAACTTTGTCAGAAATCTTTGACAAAGTTACGCGTGATTTCCGCAAAGCTGAGGTTGCATGTGGAAGGTGCTGACAAATCTGGAAAAGCCGATCTTTTAAAATTCGAATAGTGGTGCCTCTTTGATCTTTGAACCGGTGGCCTTGTTGCCTCTTCGATCTCTGAACAAACGGTCCAGCTTTTGAAATTCGGGGAAATGTGCCTTTTTGGTTTCCCAACGGCCACGTTGCCTCTTTGATTTCTGAACAGGCCATGTTGCCTCTTCTTTTTATAGAGGCATTAATCGTGTTCAAAAACACATTTAGAGAGTTGCTACCTGTTAGGAATTTCCCTCATTTTGTATTTCTAAGAATTCGCCTTACATGACCTCTTCTTCAATCATTATTTTTTTTTTTTTTGCAAATGGCTTGCCCATCTCATCATCGTCTTAATTTGAATGTTGGGGAAGATGTTGATATGTCTTCTCTAGACAACATATGGCGCCCGTCCTTCTTATCCGTCACCGGTCCTCTTACAGTTAGGGACTCTGTGATCAAGAATGACATAACCGCTACGGTGGTAGCTAGAAATATTCTCACCCTCAGGGACAATAGGTTTCTTTCCAAGCGGTCTGATGAGCTGGTTGTTCAGGACTCTCTGGCTTTCAGTGTTCAGTGTGCGGGCTCCGTATCAAATATGGGTCAACGCTTTCTTGCTCGAACTCGTCAAGTCGAGTCACTGATGGCTGAGGTGGCGAGTCTTAAGCAAGAGATTAGAGGGCTTAATCATGAAAACAGAGAGTTGCACGTGCTTGCCAATAGTTACTCAACGAGCATGAAAAGAAAGATCGATCAACTGCAGGAATCTGAAGGTCGGATTCAGAGTGACCATCAGACGTTTGTGGCTTTACTCCAAAGGCATCTACTGCCTTCGTCTTCTAGAGTTTTACCGAGTGTTGAGGCTCCAAATAGTCAACTTCTGGTGCCTTTTCTTCCTGAAGCTTCACCGAGTGGTGAGGCTTCAAACAGTCAACCTCCGGTGCCTCTTCTTCTTGGAGCTCCGCCGAGTGGTGAGGCTTCACACGAGCAACCTTCGTGAAGGCTCCCTCCTGTTTACTCTTTTTTTTTCTTTTTTCTTTTTTTTTTGTCTCATGTAAAATGTACATTTATGTAAATTTTTTGAGAAATCAATAAATGAGGCTTCTTTCATTCAATATATATATATATATATATTTTCACGTGGACTGATCCACCATTCCAAAACCCTTTCCCTTTTTTTTTTTGCATGGTGCTAGCCACCAAGAATCCACTTTCTCCTTTATATATATATATATATATATTTTTTTTTTCGTCTGCTTTCGGTGCCAGATGCACCCTTTTTTTTCACGTGGTGCCAGCACCACTTTGCTCCACTATCCCATTTTTTATTATATATTTTTTGTATAAATTTTGATAATGGGTGAGGAATTTGCAGGAAAGGACGAAGACGGACGGAGAGCTGCAGTCGAGGCTTCATGACCGGCTAATCGTTTGACGGCGGTTATTGAAGTTATTCGCCATTGCTGTTTGCCACGGACGGAGAGCTACAATCGAGGCTTCATGACCGGCTAGTCGTTTGACGGCGGTCACTGACTTTGGAGAACCCACAGAGTCTCACTGACTGTAGACCTTTGCAGCCCTCAGAAAGAAGAAACATGCCTACATCATGCACGACATTCCTCCAACAGCTTTAACGCATTCAGCAACTCAACCGAGTCGCACAAGCTCAGACAACTTCAGCTTCTCGTCGATCTTCCCAATTTTCAAGCGCATCTGTTGTGGTAGAGACGACAAGAAGATGGACTCGAGGGAATCTCTCAAGACACCTTACTCCCCTAACGAGCTTCTCTCTACCTATCAAGGGCTCAACCGATAGAGATATTTGCAGCGCGTGCCAGAGCCATTGCCTTTACCTAAAGGTCGTCCGTTCGATCACCGCTACCTCGATAGATCTGCAAGTTCACTGCAGGTGTTGCTGGTCTAGATGATGGACAGAAGGAAAGTGCAGCAGGAGGTCCTTCGCAGCAAAGTCGTCTACACAGCATGCACAGTAGGTTGCGTCACCGAGAACAAAGCACTAGGGATTGCGCTTGGTGATGGAGGAGATGTGTAGCGGAGCTAGAGACTGTTATCTTCGTTTAAGATCGCACTCGAGCCATAGCACACAAGCAAGAAAGAACTTGGCCGAGTCCATGCTGAAGTCGTTGCTACTTGGAACTGATGGGCAGAAGGAGAGAGCTGCAAAGATGGTGATGAAGAGTCCTGCTCGCGACT